TTTGTGTCCCTGTGTGTTTATTTTTTAGAGGATTTCCTTTATTTTAGTGTATTTTTCTTGTTAACCTACACAGGAACAAAGTTTCCTGCACATCACACTGGAATCATGTAAATTCGTCTCACGGATGCATCAAATGTTAAATCTGAAACTTCTCGTCACCAGAATATCAATGTGCAGCAGAGAACTGGGTCATCAACAGCTTTTTATCCGTTATCTCAACGTTTCTCCCGTGTTAAGTCGTGGGAGTTGGAGGATGTATTTTCTTTTCAGCTTGCAGGAATCAAACGCTTCCTTTTCTTTTTTTTTTTGAGAAGCTGCGACAACGTTCAGCGACAGATTCCAGTGAATTATTAGCGACGGAAAAAGTCGCGTTCCAGAAGCTGCAGGGGAATAAAACTGTTCGACCCTGAAGCCTGGAGCTCGTATCTGACAGCATACGAGGCTCAGCGGTGGAGGGTTTACCCCGAAGCTTGATTCCATGATGCTGCAGCGAGTGTCAGTAATATTCTATTAGTCAGGGCTGCAGCCAGTGTTTAACCATCTGAACTCCTGATTTTTTTTTTCCCTCCTCATTATTTAGCATAAAGTCCTGCACCTCTATGGAAACACAACAACCATGAATAGAAGTAAAGTTTTTTTCCCACAGATCTTCTCAACAGTGGATAAAACAGCCATACTGTAGATATTGAAGTATTAACTCTTTTACATCCTCTACAAACTTTCAGTCTACTCTGTTGGATACATCTTCCAACAACTTGCGTATACCGTTTCTGAGCCATGCTGCGTTTAATTTATTGATCCAGTACGTCTGATTTTTTTCCCCTCTGCTCTGTAGAAACACCGCCTGCAGTTCAGTCGAAAACTCTGAATTTTTGTCACGTGACTGTCGGTCACAGCTGAGTCAGCTTCTATTTGAGCCGAGCTGTGCAAAGACAGAATCTGTTTTGTGTGAACGTTGAATATTTAGAGGATTTTCAGACATAGTTTTCTAAACCAGATGTCACATAGTTTAAAGGTGTCAAATCCGGCGATTCTTTCTAATCTCACAGTTCCATGTCTCCACTAATCTCCAACATCTGCCCGTAGGTTTTAAAAAATGTATTTTAACTATATTTTCTATATGAACCTCATTGAGTACGACCAGCTGCACAGTTAACTGACAGTAAGTCAAATTTAACTCCCAGTTAGGTATTTTATTGCTAATTTCTTTGTCTTTTTGTTTATTTGTAAGCATTTAAAATGTAGTCCACGTCTTTTATATGTGGAAATTTGCTGTGAAAGTCTGATTTGTCTTGATTGAGAGAGAGAACGCCTGTAACTCCTCAGATTAGAGGTGTGGTGGAGAGCGTTCTGTCATCCTGCATCTCAGCATGGTGCTCCAGCTGCAGTCTGTCAGACAGAAAAGCCCTGCAGAGGACAGTTAGAGGAGCTGAGAGGGTCATCGGACTTTCCCTCACCGCTGTCCAAGAACTTTTCCAGAGGCGCTGCAGGAGCAGGACCCTGAACATTATCAGGGACTCCTCACAGCCTCTCCATGAACTGTTTGAACTGCTGCCATCAGGCAAACGTTTCTGGAGCATTAAAGGAAGAACCTCCAGACTGATCAACAGCTTCATTCCACCAGCTGTCAGAATGCTGAACTGCTGATCCAGATATGCAATAACTTCTTTATTTAAATTGCTTTAAGTGACTGGATCCTGAAGAAACGCTCTCTCATGTTGCCTGTACTACTGTGTGTGTACAGCAACATGACTATAAGCTTGATTTGAAAGAATGAGCCATGAACAATGTTAATTCTTTAGACTGTTTCTTCAGTTTGTTTCAAACATCCTGAGTTTATAAAAAAAAACTCCTAAAAGGTGCAGAAGTCTCAGTGTGAGAGAACGCATGCAGCACAATGTGACAAAAGAGTAACAGAGGATGAGACGTGCATCTATCACCTGGAGAGGTTGGGGTAACCTCTGGCATTAAGTTTCTGCCTCACTGCTGCTTAATGGATTTAATTTCCTGAGCGACGCATCGCCCTCCGTTAGTTTGGATCCTTCATCTTTATGTGCTTTTCTCACTGGAGCTTGACTCTGTTCTGGTTTTATTTTGAAGGCCGCAGCCTGCGACTCTCCACTCTGAGTCCACAGTCATCGATGGACGATGGAGCGTCGGAGGCGGAGGACGACTCCATCGCTCTGGGATACAAACTGCAGGACCTGACGGACGTCCAGGTCATGGCCCGACTGCAGGAGGAGAGTGAGTCCCTGATCAGCTCAGATCCACTTTGTACCGGAGGTTTAACCCTCAAACGGTTTCTGTGGGTTTTATTGGTGTCTGTCACGTTTTTCCTCACTGTGGGCTCATTTTTCACTGCAATATAAAGTCCTGCACCACGTTTCCATTGCGGTATATCATCCGACATTAACTCGGTGTGCAACAAAGCAGCCACCAATGGTAGCTACTGGCTCCAGTTCTATGTAGGAAATGGAACAATGGAAGCTTGTTGTTGGCCTGTTTGACTGGTTGTTGGGGGGCAAAAGGCATCGAGAACAACAAAAAGGGCAGAAGAACTCTCAGGTTTAACCCTCTGAACTCATATTGTTGGATCTTAACTGGAATATTTTAACTAAAACCACGACTTGTATGACAGTGTAATAACTTGTGCTGCTTCTGAAGCGGAGTAATTTCAGATTGTGGTGATGATGGATGTTATATTCATGCAGCTGTCATGTCAGTTTCTTTGTCTCTGTCATGTGTCCATATTGACCTGTTCTGTCCATGTGTCTCCACTGTTCCCTCCTTTCTAATAATTTTAACATTTGGCACCAGATCTCCGAGCTCATCGCTACTTCAGCTTCATTAACCCCCGGAGGTGATAGTTGTGTGTGTTTGTACACTCGTGAACAAAAGTTTACATACACTTGTGAAGACCAAATGTATCGTGGTAATTTAGAGTTTCCAAAGGCTCCTATAAATCAGAATTTTCTCGGATAGAATCACTGAAACATGTGAGTCTTTGTCACAAAAACACAATCATGCATTTTGGTTCTTTCATAGATTTGTTTTAGGCGTTCTCAAACTACTACAAAGTGGACAAAATATACATACAGCAGTTTTCATTTGGCTATTTTCACCTCAATTTGGCACTTTAGGTTTCTGTCCACAAGCTTCTGGTTGTATCTTTGACAGAATTGATGCAGTTCAACTAAATTTGTTGCTGTTCTGACACAGACTTTTGGGGAGACCCTTTTAAAACCTTATTTCTATCCTGATTTAACCATTTCTTTACCGCTTTTGATGTGTGTTTGGGGTCAATGTCTTGTTGGAACCTCCGACTGCATCCAGCCTTCTGGTTGATGATTGTAGGTTTTCCTGAAGAATGTGGAGGTAATCCTTCATTCTTCCATTTACTTTGTGTAAAGCTCCAGTTCCACTTGCACCAAAAAAGCCTCAGAGCATGATACTGCCACCACCATGCTTTACTGTAGGTTTGGTGTTCTTGGGGTTAAAGGCCTCACCTTCTCCCCTCCAAATATATTTCTGATCATCCTTGCCTTGTGGTCCGGACCAATTGTCTCTTTCTTCCTGATCGTGGCAGAAACACAACTGTACCATTAACTAGTCAGATGATTTTGAGATCCGAAGCTGCTTTGAAAAGGCTCTAAGTGACTTGTTTTCTGACTTGTTAAAGTCAATGATTTGCTTTTTCAGATCTTTGCTGAGCTTCTCAGGCTGGACATATCATACAGTGACCAGCTGGCCATGACCCAGATGCTTCTGATGGTGACTGGAGGAACACTGAATTGCCACACAGGCTGCTTAGAAGTGCCAATGCCAGTCACAGAGAAATGCTGTGAACACCAGATTACAGCCAAACCTCCTGTGGGTAACCGTTATGCAGTTGTCGGGAGCCACTTGTTTCACACCAACCTTTCCATGTTGTACCATCATGTGTTCTTTCAGATGTGCAAGATTCAAGGCATACGATTTCATAGGAAGAAGAAGCAAGGCACAGTTTTTGCTCTTTATGACAACAGTAAGCGAAGTATTGGAATCAGTGGGATCACTGTAATGTTGGTGGCTGAGTCTAATGAGTGGATCAATTTAAATAGGCTCAGAGGAGTTAGCAGCTTTAGTCGGCAAGTCAAGGACCACGAAGAAAATCTGATTAATACAACTTTCTACATCCCCAAAGCTGGTATTCAAGTTGCTGTGATGTACATTTCTGACCCAGCAGATTGTCATATTTCCAGAAGACCTAAATAAATCTATGAAAGAGCCAAAATTGTTGATTTTTTTTTTTTTTTTACTCAGATGCTTGTATTTCAATTATTCCGTCAGAGAAAATTCTGAGACATTGGAAACTCAAGGCTGCTATGACATACAAGGTCTTCACAAGTGTTATGCAAACTGTTGTACACAACTGTGTATGTGTGTGTCGGTGTGTTTCTGCGCTGGTCCTCATGTGTCGCCCCCCTCAGGTCTAAGGCAGGACTACGCCAGCACGTCGTCCGTCCTGGCCAGCCGCCGCAGCCAGAGCTTCAGCTTCCAGCTCAGCCAGCTCAGCGCCGGCCCCGACCTGGAGGAGGAAGACGAGGAGGACGACGAAGACTACGGCCTCCTTCCGCCACCTCCGCCGCGCCTCACCCGCCTACCGCACTCCCACACCTTCTCCAGCATCCGAGACTGGCGAAGAAGCACCAGCTCCCTGTGCACCCCTCCTTCCACCCCCTCCACGCCCCCGTACCCTTCCGCTGGGTTCGTCTTTCAACCTCCGGCCCCGGTGCAGGGCCCGGCGCTGGGCAGCCTCTGCATAGAGTCGCAGGGCTTCAGACCAGGGTCAGGTGAGAAAACGCCATCTGGTTTCAGCTTTCTTGGTAGAGCAGAGGCAAAAATATACCAGAAATAAAAGAAGCTCTTTTTGTGTGGAACTGTTGAGCAGCCTTAAAGATTTCTACTGCAGGAACTCAGGGCAGGAGCAAGGTTTCCATTGCAGTTTAGGATCCAACAAAACGGTCACAAATAGTAGCTACAGGACAAAGCTCCAGTTCTGTCGAGGAAATAGAACAATGGAGGTTTGTTGTTGCCCTGTTTGGTGAATTGTTGATGGTGAAGGCATCAAGATCATCCAAAGGGCAGGAAAACTCTGTCGGGTTTAACCCTGTGATCTCTAAGCAGCAGTTCCTCAGCGTTCTATTTGCTCCGTCACATTGTTCCTCACTGTGGCTCATTTGTGAATAGTACTAATATCAGCTACTTCTGTGTTTCTATGTGTTGTACGTGCAATATTTGTGTGTGTGTATTTACTGTACATGTGACTGTCGTTGGCTGTATTGTTTTGGGGAAACTTCATCATGGCATCCAGCCGAATATGAGAGTAAGTCTGCAATGTTTTATTCTAAGTTTGAAAATGCAGTTTAATCCTCTGAACTCCAAAACGCGGTTTGAAAGACACGTTTTAAAAAAAATAGTTATCGCATTTACCAGAGTCACAAACTGTGAAAACATGTAATCATTGGATTTTTCATTTTGTGATTTCAGTTTGATTGAGGAAAAATAACCAAATCTCGGCTTAAAATCTGGATATTTCATCGAAACTGCTTTATTTTACTGGTCTTATTTTCAAATTTGCCAGAAATAAACAGTTTGTTGGAACCAGATTCTGGAAAAAATACAAATAAATCTTCAAGGGTAGGTGCAGCTGTAAAGCCATTAATGACTCAGCTGTGACAAAGAGTTACTATATAAAAACAGGCAGATATCTAGAGTATGTTTGATTATGTTGTGCTGTTTCCAGAGCAGTGCAGGACTTTATATCACAGGCTGAGCGTGAGGAAAAATGCCCAGAAGCTGTTTGGAGTTCAGAAGATGAATACTTTTAACCTCATAGACAACATGTAGAAGTGAACACTAATCTGACTACTTTGGTTTTTTTTACCTCCACGTCTTCATTTTGAGCCGTTTCTCGTCTACGCTGTGTTAAAAAGACCTGGACTGACCCACATTGATGCTCTAACTGCTTAATAATAACCGTCTAAGCCTGTTGTACAACCAGCGCTTCCGTTCTTAGTTTGACGGGATTAGAGTTCAGAGTGTAAATGCGACTGAGGAGGTTGGAAACGGTTGTACAGCTTCCTGTGACGCCTTAAAGGACGGAGGTGAAATGAAAGAGCGTGAACACACTGATTCATTGCATGACAACGTTTTGATTTATAGTGAACTTCTATTCAACTCGGAGGTTTCTTTTGGTTTGAAATGGCAGAAATGAGCGACAGAAGACAGTAAAACATCGCTTTATAGATGAAAATGATTAATCTGAACCCCTTTGAACTACAATTTGTTATACTATGAATAATAATTGGACTCATCTGGATGTCCATCTGCTGTTCTTGAACCGTTCAACAGTTGTTTAAACTCTGTCCGAGTGCATCGTTAAACTTCTTCCCTCTCGGTTTGCGGTGTTTCTATCTGGCAGATAAGTTGCGGAGGAGCATGCCGAACCTGGTCAGAGCTCCCAGTATGCCCAGTGTGCCCATCCCCACCAATCCCAGTGCTTCCCCTGCTTTGCTTCGTAACAGCCAGAGTTTTGATTCTTCCAGCGGACTGACTCGACTGCAGTCCTCCAGTAAGACACCACGTTTATTATTGTTATTACTGTTATTCATTCCATCTTGACTCACCACCTGTAATGTGCCTGAAACTTTTAGAGCTTAAAATGAGGATATTTATAAAAACATTTGTGAAATTTTAGCTTTGTATATCAAATACTTTGAGATAAAGAAAATGTGAAAACTGCCCTTTCAGCAGATTTTTCCTCACATTGAAATTTGAGGCTGTTTAAGCGAAAAGATCTCAGCAACCATTAAAGATAAAAAAGCTGAAATCTTCTGATATTTCTCATCATGTCATGATAAAGAGAGAGAAGTCAGCTAGTGATATTTTCTGAACTGTATGTAGCTGCATGTCACAGTCATACAAAACACATAGAATACTTTCAATATGAAATACTTGGTCACAAAAATGTTAATTATGTTAAACTGAGCAGATTTGACAAGTTGTCCCACAGAAACATAAACATTGGTAGGTTGCCTGATCCAAGTAGAATAAAGTTCTGGAGTTTCAAAGTGGTTCTCCCCCAAAAAACTAAGAAAATGTTAGAACCAAAGTTCGAAACCTGCTGACACACAAATCTCTAATTACACTGTGTCTCCACTCACCTCTAGTTCCCTCCCCGGGTCAACTGCAGAACCGAGTCCAGAGCGTCGGGAACTTCTCCTCGTTGTCACGGCAGCCGCTGAAGGCCACCGCCTACGTCAGTCCCACCATCAAGGGCTCTGCGTCCCTGCCGACCTCCGCCAGCCTCCAGTCGCTGACCGGCGGCGGCTTCGGCAGCGGCTTCGGCAGCGGGATCCCTCTGCTCAGTAAACCGGCAAGCGGGCCGGTGACGCCCACCACTCCTCGCAGCGGCCTGCCTCGACCCGCCTCCTTTGTGGGCACCACGAGCTCCACCCCCCGCAGCAAGGTGGCCCAACCAGCACGAAGGTAAACCTTACAAAACAAACAACAACTTCATTACTGAATAACATCAGAAAACTGCTGTTTGAAAGACAACTGATGTCAAGATCGGCAAAAGCACGAAGCAAAGCCCAGTGCTTTGTTTACATTCGCTGTAGACAGACGTAAAAGATGAAGTACAGTTTAAAGTAGGGATGGAAATGTAGGAAAATGTCCTGTACTTGATTTGCTCTGTTACAAATGGCATGTCAGAATCCTGTCCTAGTTGATCACATGAGCTCTGGTCGGGGGCGTCATGCATCACGGAGGTCTTTGTCTTGATGCCCCTTTACAAGCTAAAGCCTCGTAATGCTTTCTACTTGCCAACGTGAACTGCCTGTATTCTGAGGCCTTGTCCACACGTAGCAGAGTTTTTATAAAACCGAATATCCTCCCTCCTACACACCACCTCGTTTTTAGAAGAAAAATTCATAAGTGTGTTGGTACGCACATTCATAAGCATGCCAAACCTTTAGGTGGCAGTAGTTCCCCAAATCCTTTCCAATCAGAATAAGCTTTCATCTCTCGACGTCATAAAATACCCGTCCTTACTGTCGTCCTCCGCCTGTGTTCTTGTACATGGAGCGGTATCTGGACCTGGACAAGACACAACGCCAACACAGTTCTGAGGGCGTCCACGCTGTTTCCAAATGTAAACACAGGTCGCATATGTGGCGTAAGAACATATTTTGTTGCAGGTAGTGACGTTTTGAAACCTAAAACCCCGGTTATTGACGTCCACGTGCAGACGCATAAACAAAAGATTTGCAAATCTTCTCTTTGGTCGGAGGTTTTTGAAAGAATCGTTTTTAATGCCGTAAATCTGTGCTTTCATGTGGATGACAGGCCAAATCGTAGAAAAATATCTTGGGAGATACTCTGCTATGTGTGGACAAGGCCTGAGTGACTTCCTCCTCTGGCCCTCGTTTTATCATTAATAGTTCCTGAGATGTTGTTGTTCAAAAATCCTCAAATTTCAATGTGGGAAAAAAAAACATGTTAAAAGTGAATCAAAGGGCAATTTTTAAAGATTTTTAGCCACCAAAGTATTTGATATATCAGTCTAAAATTGCATGAATATCTCTCATTTTCCATATTTTATGCTATGAACATCTTCGGCAGATCAGAGATGGTTGAGCCAAACTAGCATCATTGAGTCTTTAGTTGGATTGAACTGGAACCCTGCAGTGCCACAAAAGTTTGATAGTAATAGTCGTAAATATGCCCAACTGACTTTTTAGACGTTGTTCTCTTCTCCTTTCAGTTTACTGACTCCTCCAAAGAGCTTGTCCACCCTCAGTGCCCTTCGTGACAGCACCTGGAGAGACGGCTGCTACTGACGGACGGACGGACGGTGTCGCCCCGCTGGCTGGGGTAACTCTCCACACGTCAGGCTTTCCAAGAACGGTTCTGACCAAAAAAAAAAAAAACAACAACCTTACGTCTGAGATCCTGCATAGAATACCTGTACCAGACCCCAGCTGAGGGTCTTCACACCAACTGGACTCTCAGATTCTATGCAGAGTTTCTTCGGGGAAGGCGGGTTTTCTGAGTTTCAAGCACGTCAGCTCCAAATTTTTCCTGACGGGTTCGGTTTGTGCCAAGGGGGAGCTCGTTCCCCGCCGCTGTTGTGCAATAAAACCGCTGGCTGTTGGTTAAATGAACCACTAACCCGCTAAAGAGGGCTGCCAGTTTTTATCCATTTATTTATATATTTATTTTGAATAACTTTTGACTAATCAGGTGTTTTGTTTTTTTTCCCTGTGGCAACAAGCGCCGACGATGCTGCTAAAATTGAATCTGTCCCTGTCAGTTTGGGCATATTTGGTCTAATTTTTACAAGTAAGATAATAAAGTATGTATTCCTGTACAAAGCTAACTATTAAGTGTGCATATATAGATATATATTAATTGATGCAATATTCAATTTTAAGTGTAAATCTTGACCAAAATGAAAATATCTGAATGTGTTTACAGCTCTGTCTCACCATGGTGTCACGAAACTTTGTGCATATTAACACTTTCAAATTGTCTGAGCGATGAAATCCCTGTTGCACTTTGTACAAACCTCTGAACTTCCTGGTATTTTTACGTTCCGTTTACTAACGTTTGCACTTCTTTTTGCATTCAGAGGAGCAAAAAAAGAAAACAAAACAACCTGTTAATTCAATGTGGTGGGGCGATTTCACAGTGACACACGGCGTTAATGTAGCACCCTTCGTTTGTAATATCTCACTCGTTTTTAAATAAGCGTCACCGCGCTACATCTCACACAACACTTTTGTTACTGTGATGGACTGAATGAGTAAAACATTTTAATAAAACATGTTAAATTAAACGCGTCTTTTTCCACTGAGTTATTCTGAACATACCTTGGTGTGTAAAAATGTGTGAATCTGCAGAGTTTGAACTTTTAGCACTGGATGGAGACTGAGACCATTTCCACTGCAAATTACTGCTGATTGGAGCGTCTCAGTTCCGCTTTGCACAACAAAAACAGTCTCTTTGTGATTTTAAAATTAAGAAATGTATAGTGGTGCTTACTTTTCTGCACAAATCTAACGTTAAACATCATCAGAAGTCGTAAAAGAGGAACAAATTCAACAAAATGAGACATGAGTGCCGTTAGTAACTCATCAGGTTTGCAGATAAACTCAAATTAAAATCATTGTTAGGAAACTAATTGGTAAAAGAGAGCTGCGTCCTAAAACCGCTTTAAATCCCAAACTCTAAACAGGTTAGTTTGGTAGGTTAATCGTAGCAACTGGACTTGCTTGAGTTCCTTGAAGACGTTTCATCTCTCATCCAAGAGGCTTCATCAGTTCTGGTTGACGAGTTGGAAAATCCAGATACTGATGTCTTTAAGGAGCCATTAACACCTGAGTTTCGGTTTCAATTGGGGGTTTGTTGCTCCTCCCCCTCGCTATGTGAGTCGTTTGTGCTCCCCCTGCCATAATGGGGTTCGTTAGGGTCTTTTGTGGCTCGGTGTGAATGTGGTTTCATCTTCCTGGGGAGAGCCACCTCCTCAGGACAGGACTCAGCAGTCCACCTGCATCTCAAGGACAAAGGACACTCATTGGAAGACAACAACATACAGATGTTGGTCAGGGAGGACGGATGGTTTGAGATAGGGGTGACAGAAGCCATCTATGTCAAACTGGAAAGACCATCCCTCAACAGAGGTCTGAGGCATCACCTCTCACCTGTTTACAATTCAGTCTTAAGATCTCTCCCCAGGAAGATGAAACTGCATCCACACCTAGTCACAAAAGATCCTAATGAACGCCCTTGTGGCATGGGGAGTACTATCAACTCGCATAACGAGGGGGAGGAGCAACAAACCCCCGATTGAATCCGAAACTCAGGTGTTAATGGCTCCTTAGGATATAAGTATCTGGATCTCCCAACTAGTCAGTCAGAACTGATGAAGCCTCTTGGATGAGAGGTGGAACGTCTTCAAGGAACTCAAGCAAGTCCAGTTGCTACGATTAAACTACGACCTATGACCTGGAAGGCTGAGAATCTTCAGACTTCTGAACAGGTTAGCTGTTTAGCATCAGTTACCATGGCGATCTAGCTGGTTAAATGAGACTGAGGACGCTGGTTTCAACACACATTGATCTTGATCACTACTCTGTTTCAGATAAGGCGAAACTCATGATGATGCCACCGCCGTGCTTCACAGAGGCCACTATTTTCAGCAGTGTTTTCATTTAAAACAAACAACAACAAAAAAGCCTCATTTGAACCAAAAAGTTGTTCTATTTTGGTCTTATCCATCCACAAACATTTCTAAACAACCCTCTGACTTGTGATCTTTCACTAGCGGAACAGTTGCTTTCAGAGAGCAGAGAATTTCTTCTCGCAGAAAAGATTCTTTGTGACCTCGCAGACTATCGCTCACCTCACTCTGGAGTGATCCTTGTTGGTCGAACCGCTCCTGAAGAGAACAACTGTGTTTAATTTTCTCCATATTCAACTTTTTCCCCAGCCTGACAAGCATCTAAATTTTTGTCTAAGGTCCTGAAAAATGTCTTTTCTGTTGGCGCCACGATCCACTTCCATCAACTGTCTTCTATAAAACATGGCGCCGCTCACACCTGGATGTCATCCCTCTGATTGGAAACACCAGACGCTAATTTCACCTTCAAATTAATAACAGCTCATCCTGGAGGTCAACACGCTTTCTTTCCCACTCAGATATGTAACATTGGATCATTTCTCTCATTTAATAAATAATTAAGTGTCATATTTTTGTCTCATTTGTTTAATCTGGTTCTCTTTATCTACTTTTGTGTGAAATTTTTAGCGTGTTTTCGTTTTTCTTACCTTTAAAATCACGAATAAAGACTGTGTTTTATTGGTGCAAGCGAAAGCCGAGATGCTTCCATCAGCAGGAAAAGGCTGTGAAATGGTGTCAGTCTCCACCTAGTGGCAAAATGTAACAGGACAAGGAGTCATTTTCTGAGACCGACACAGGAAATGAAGTGTGGAGACGGTAAGTGTGAGACATCAGCAGGTAAATGTCACTCTGAAGGTGTGTTAAATAAGACGACAAACCACTTTTATCAATGCATGAATGCTGAATTTTAACTACATGACATCTAATGTAACTAACAAATAACAAATATAGAAATACAGATTTAGTTTAGCAGAATCTAATATATTCAAATGCTGTAATAAATACTGAGGTGAGTGATTAACTTAATTGGAACATTTTAAATTAACATTAATTAGCATAATATAGATAATAATACTTCAGAAACTCCCTGGCTGGTATGAACATTATTGGTGTGGTTTTGTGGGGTTATTTAGGATTTTGAATCCATTTCAGACAATTTCTAAATGAAAAATGACTTTAAATCACAAGTGGAGCTGTTTGGTCCAGTTCTAATGAAGCTGTAGTTAATTTAAAAGTTTTAGAGGATGCTAAATGGATTGGAAAAGAAACTCTGGCGTTTAATCTGATAAAAATCATTTCAGTAAAGAAATTGTGATAAAATTAGGATAGAATACTTTAAATATCAACTGTCAAACCAAAGTTAATGGACAACATTAGTGTTTTGTTTTTCTGTAATTTAACACAACTAGAAAATCTGTAAGTTAAATAAAATAAAAAATTTAGATTAATAGTATTGTTGTTGAATAATGTCACCACCTGAGGAGCCACGTGTCGCCTGTAGAGATGGACGAGGAGCTCAAGCAGGGGAACCAGCTCTCCTCTTATGACCTCCTTCATCCCTGAAGACTGGAGCCTCCATCAGGACGGACGTTTCAGTTCCTTTCAGCTCTCTGCTCGAGATCGGTCGCCACCAGGACACAGAGCTTCATCTGTGGGTTCTTCTGACATCAGACTCGGACTTTCTTCACTGGACGGATTCCTGAAGTTTGTAGACATTCATTTGGTTTGATAAGCATGTCACAGGTTTATTTTGTTTCTCTAACAGATGAATGAAACAGTTATTTATGCCTCAGATGCAGCCGCTGTTTGCACAGTGAACAGATTTAAACTGTAGTTTCTTTTGTTATTTTACGGACTTTTTCAGTTTTGTTAAATTACAGCAATAAATGAGTAAAGTCAATTTTTAAAAAAGTGTGAGAAATCAGTATTTTTGGGTTGTTTTTTTTTTTTTTTGCAACATTTACCTATGAATTTATAGATTATCTTTATGTATTCAAATCTGCAAAAAATATTCTATTGCATATAGAGATATTTTTGATATTTCTGATATTTTTATTTTTATTTTTTTTACAGATTTTTTCTATTTTTTCTATTTTGTTTGATTACAGATATCTATTAAAATCACAATAAAACAAATACAAAATAAATACAAGTATTAATTTACACATTAAACTTTTTTTTTTTTTTTACTGTATTCAGATCTGAAAAATAAATTCATTTTACACATATTTTTTAAACTCTCTTTTGTTAATTCCAGATCATATCGAGTGAATTCACAGAAGAAGAAGAAAAAAAACAAGTGTATTAATTTCTATGTATTACTATAGTTGTTATTACTGGTGATGCGCCTCCCAGTAAACACTTCCTGGTGATGAAAACAACACAACCAGTAAACAGCGAGACTTACATGGAGGCGTTGGCCGACAGAGGGCCACCAGACCCGGTGATGTAACAGCAGCTCCTGGAGAACCAGAGATAGGGAACACACACAGGGACGTCTCACTCTGACGCTTACATCCAAAATCACAGCAAGAGTGACTTTTTTGTTCAACACTTATTTCCATTAATGAAATATCATTATTGTTATTATTATTATACAAATAACACACTCAGGACTGTGTGAATCTGACCTTTGGGCTCAAACTACCAGTGAAAACACTGACAATACATCCATTTATGTTCTATTTTTTATTTTGAACTGTGAAGGAAAAAAACATTTGTCACTGAAATAAGTTGAAATTGACTAAAGTAATAATAAATAAAAAATTAATAATGAAAATCATGACATTGCTTTTGAATTGTGGTTCAACAGAAATATTAAAAAAAGAAAGAAAGAAAGAAAGAAAGCATGATGGGACCTTTATATTAACATTTAGTTGAACAACCCTTTGAGCCAATCAGGTGTTTTCTGGAACTCTCAGTCAGACGTCTGCACCTGTCGACAGTTATTCTGGTTTCACTGCCCATCAGCAAAGTGCTCTGATTAGTCCAGGTCAGTTTTGTTTTTTTAGAATTACTCTTTTCAACCACAATTGAAAAGCAACGTCTTATTTCACTAAATTACAATTTAGCAAATTTTTATTTATTATTACTTTTTTCAGTTTCTACTAATTTGAGTGACTTTTGTGAATTTTTCCTTTTCTTTAATGGAAGGGTCTGAATACATTTGAGGACGACTGTATATAATCTGAGTTCATTAGTGATATAATCTGGGTTAGTTGGTGATGTAATCCAAGTTAATTAGTGATTTAACCTCCACTGGTAGAGTCACTGATGTATATTTGTATAATTTACCAGTAAACAGACGTTGTCCTTGCAGCAGCAGCAGCAGCACCAGCCTCTCTCTGGTCTTGTCTCAGCCTCTTGGTGCTCGCTTTCCTCCACACAGTGACGCCTCCTCCCTCCCTCCCTCCACGCGACGATCTCCGCTCCGCCCAGCCTCAGCACCAGCATCCTTCAGTCCGCACCAGCATCACCACGAACCATGACGGAGACGAGGCCTCGGTGATCCGGACCCGCTTCTCGCTGCGGTCCGTTATGTCTTTGCTGCTCCTCTCGCCATGCCCGCCGCCGCCCGTCGCTGCCCGCCGCCGCCGCCGCTGCTGCTGCTCCTGCCGTCGCTGCTTCTGATCCGGTGCCTGGATGGGGCGCCGAGAGCCGCGGAGGAGGGCGGCGGCCTGCCCGGGGACAATGGCCTCAGAGCCGCGGTGGGAGAACCGTCCGGTACCGGACTGCCGGGCCTGTCGGCTCTGGTCGCAGGTAAAGAGAAAGCAGGATTGTTGTTGGAGAAAATGGAAATGAGCTGCAGAGGAGGCAGAAGTGACTCATTTCTTTATTCCTGTCACTGGCTGTTGTTTAGGATCCACTCATTAAACTGTAAAGATGAAAACACGGCAGCTGCACAGAGAAGCAGCCAAAGTGGAAATAAAAGAGTAAATAAATCAGAGCAGCTCTCTGGATGAGCGGCTCGTTAAAGCATCCAGCTGCTGTGACAGGAGCAGGATGGAGGATGTGGAGGTTTGTGAGCAGGTGATGGACTCATGTCCTGAAGCTGCTCATCAACATGTTCTGATCCAGTCAGCCTCCTGGAGGAAACTCTGACCACATAGACAACACTGCAGCTATCAGGTCACTACAGCTGTTTGCATCTTGACCTCCTTTAACTTGGTCACATATTGTGATGCTCCTGAGTGAACTGTAGAAATGAACTTTTCAAAAAGGTACACAAACAAACAAACAAGGTACTATTAGTTTACAGATTCAGTAAAAAAAAAAATACAGTGTAATCTGAGGTTCAAACACTGTAACAGAACAAAAGACAATTTTTAAAATACAGATTTTTGATGTGGACATTATTTACAGTTTAACAGTCAACGTGTTGATTTTTAAAAAATATATTTTACGAGATATCTATAATTATTGAACAAAAACAGGTGAAAAGGTGGATTTACATTTTTTTTTCTTGTTATTTACTTTTTTTATTATGTATTTACTACATAATTTTATTTAAATTTTATTTTAATTTAAATTTGATAAAATGTGATGCATGTAAATTTAAAAAAAAATATTTATAGTAATAAAAAAAAGTAAAATGAAAACTAAAACAGTCTGAAACTGTATAAAATGTAAAATTATGGATGTTTTTCCTATTTCCAAATTATTCTGTTTAATCGTGGACAGACTGAAACATTTTGCTTTTTTAAAACAGTAAAATGAAATTATTTAAAAAAAAAAAAAGACCAAAAAATAAATAAATAAAATTTGTTTAAAAAAAAAAAAGACCAAAAAATAAATAAATAAAATTGGTAAAATCCTATAATGTCCAAAAATTGTAAAAATAGAAATTTTTAAAAATTGTGGAAATATTGGCAAATATCTGTAAAACTGATATTTTTTAAGCTGATGTAAATATAATAATATACTGTAATTTTACTTTTAAATGTTGCAAAAATTACATTAAAATCATAAAAATACAGATTTTTCATGTGAACATTATTTACATGTTTTTTTTAATGGTTAATGTTTTTATGAATTTGTGTGATTTTACTAGTTATTGTCTAATTTAACAAAACAATCTGTAAAATAACAGTAAATTGCTTAAAAAACAACATTACATGAATAGACATTTGAAGCTGTTGATATCTTTACCAGCTGACGGTATCTCATGTGATCCATCACACGCTTTAAATCTATTACAATGTGAATATTGAGCTAAAGCTTCAAAACATTATACAGCAAATCACAAAATTTGTTAGAAAAATCAGATATTTTCCCCAAATTGCTCAATTGAAGGCTCCTTAAAAGGCAGAAGCTTTGTCTTTAAGAGTTTCCTAAAGCCTCCTGTGATGCTGCTGGATGAGAAGAAACGCTGCAGTGGAGCTTTTTCCTCGCTGCTGCTGTCACTTGGTTTTGATGCATTTTTCATTCTCGCTGCCTCATCACTTTTTCATGGCGAGGGAAAGGTTAGCGAGGACGCGGCCGTTCTGAGCACGTGCAGAGACACTGGAACCGCTCAGAAATGAACTCCGACAACGTTTTGTTTTCTGACCCTGCAGAGCCCCAGTTCGCCCTGAAGGTTCTGGTCAGAGACCTGGTGACCCGCCAGCCGCTGCCCGGCGCCTCGGTGGACGTCTACCTGAACCACACCCTGAGGAGTTCTGCCCAAACCGGGCCCAGAGGGGAGGCTCTGCTCTGGGTGGCCTACAGCCCGGGCCTCAGTCTGACCCTGCTGGGCCACATGGAGGGCTACGTCCCGAACCCGCTGCCCTGGAGCACCACCAAGAGGCCGAGTGAGTCAGCGAGAAACAGATCCAGTTCTGAACCCTGAGCAGGAGATAAATAGGCTGAAATACTGCGGTTACCACCCTAACGTGGTATTTATGGTGTCAATTGAACTGATTAGTTCAAATATTAAGGATTAAAAGCCAACAAATTTACATAAAGTTCATCAGACTAAAACAAAATCTACAGAAAACTTATTGCTAGTTTGGATTCTAAGCAGTTTTGGGGTGTTTTTCTTTTCTCTGTCGCATTTTTTACTTACTGTTTGCTCATTTTCCTCTGCAGTATGAATAGTTGTAGAAATAACATAAATCAGAACAGAGAGTTGACTTTCTCTGGTTATGTATTTGACCAAAACTGAAACAAACCTGGACTCAACATGCACAACAAATAGTGGGAAAAACAACTTTTCTACATGTTTAAATGGCTTTTGGATGCTCTCAGTGATCTTAGTATTTTAGTTTTATAATTACAAACAGACGATCTTATCAACTAGTTCTACTTTGTTCTTGGTTTTTACACTATTTTATTTTCTTTAAGTAATTTCTGTTGGTCATTTTTAGTTCATTTTTACAGAATCTAAACAGTTCATTTCTAATCTATTTTCTAAATGAGACACAAAGTAAAGTTAGGCAGGACGGATCGGTTCTCTTTCTGTTGCTGCAGAAATTTACTCAACATTAAAAATCCTCCTAATTCTTGGTGAGGAAACAGACAAAGACATTTTAATTTCGATTAAATATTACTATTTGAGGCTTAGATGTGGTCAGTTTTCAAGCTATGATCAGTTCAAACACCATCAGAGAAGTGAAAACCTGCAGATTTATTCTGCTTTTACAGCTTCTCGCTCTCGTCTTTTCAGTGATTTATTCTACAAATAACAAAAACAAGTCACCTGACGTGTAGTTTTGGAGTTCAGAGGGATGAAACACCAGAATTAAAGGAGGGTTTAGCAGGCTGTGATGCCGTTTATAGGCACTTATTTACAATAATGTCAGCACAGTCTGCTCACACACTCTCATATCTGCATTATTTATGGTCATTATAGATTAATGAAGTGTCTGCGAACAGCTCGTCTCTGAGGTTTGTTCGTGATGAAGCAGTTTATGTTTGCAGCGTGTAACCCAACGCTGTGGTCATTCCATCGACTGTTTGTGCAGCAGCAGCGTTGGAGGCACGCGTCTGCCTCGGTGTCTTTGTCCTGGACGAGGAGGGGGTTGGGGGCTGCCGGATGAAGGGGCTCCACTCTTTTGTCTGTTTGCTGTGAATGTGGCAGCAGGAGGCGGAGCTTCAGGGGAACAGGGAGCAGGTGTGATGCAGGAGAAAGATCAGGGATGGGGAAGAAAAACAGAGGCGAGAGCTGCTCCGCTTCGTCAGAGGCGCCTCCCTTTGTGCTGCTGAGCCAGAAAAACTACAACTCCAGCAGGGGCAGGCGGATAGCAGCGCCATCTGCTGGTGGAGCCGCACACTAGCTACCAAACAGAGAATAGAGGGAATGTGCTGCTGCTTAGCTCAGATTTAATCCAGAGTTTACTTGTTTTTTCATTCAGCACCCAAAATTGATGTTCTGGAAAATAATTTGACAGAATTTCATGTTTTCACACTTGGGACTTTTTTCTATTTCCACTCTCAAAACAAACTTGTGAAGCCATCTTAAAGCAGATAAGCCTCATATGTTGTTAAATTTGACCTGTGCAGGGTGTCCCCTGCCTTCGCCCTAAGTCGGCTGGGATAGACTCCAGCCCCCCTGCGACCCTAGTGAGGATTAAGCGGTGTATAGATAATAGATGGATGGATGGATGTTGATAAATTTCATCATGGAAGCAGCTGGTACCATTGAACATATAATAACAACACTGACTCCTATGAACACCTGTTTTTGTTTCCTACCAACGAGACCACATCAACATTTTATTCAAATTTTTAAAAAAAAAAATGGAACTTTGTCTTGCCATACTTGTCACACTTCAAATTCTGCTGATGTAAGAGCAGGGATCTCCAACTCTGGTCCTCGTGAGCTACTGTCCTGCAGGTTTTAGATGTTTCCGTACTGCAACACACCTGACTCAGGTTGATGGATCTCCAACTGTTAATGATCCATTAATTTGAGTCAGGTGTGTTGCAGTACGGAAACATCTAAAACCTGCAGGACAGTAGCTCACGAGGACCAGGATTGGACACCCCTAGTATAGACTGTTCAAGTCCTTCTAGACACCTTTGAGGCATCTTGGATAGGTCTTAACTCAAAATATTAAAAAATAAATAAATAGATATAGACCCTTGTCCTGCCATACTTGCAACAAATCAAATTCTCCTGATGCTAGAATCCTCAAAAGTTGGTGGAATGTTTATCAAAGGTTGTATTTTTAGTAGGAAATACAGATGCATCCATGTCACTTTTCTCAATTTTCAAGGGCCAATAATGAAAACTGTGTCCTTCTGAGGCCAACATGACTTCATCTAATGTGTGACGTCATTTTAAGGGTTCAATATCTTTCATGAAATGCGGTGAAGAAAGAGACAGAATGTTTTCTGGCAGATCTGAATGACTGAGTGGCTCCAGCAGAGGACATATTTTTAATTATTGGAAATTGAAAGTGCAAAAATGTTTAAATAAGGACAGTATTTCCTGCTAAAAATACAGCCTTTGGTCGACATTTCAAACACATCTGAGGCTTCAAGCATCAGTGCGATTTCATTTGTGGTAAGTATGACAAAGCAAAGGGCCATTTTTTGGCTATTTTGACAGAATGATGATGTGGATTCATTCGTGAGAGCACAAAAACTGGTGTTCATAGGGTTTATATGTTGTGATTATAGGTGCAAAGCTGCTTCCATGTTGTCTTCATGTTGAAATTTAACAGCATATGAGACAGAATTTGCCTTGAAATGGCTTCATTGGTTCGTTTTTGAGGGCAAAAATAGAAACATTTGAGAAATTCTCAAAACTTAGCCAAAATATTTCATAGAACTTTGTTTTGAACCCCAAATAACAAACAAGTAAACTAAATTTAAATCAGTGCAGCAACACCACAGTCTGAAATGCCTCAGCGTGTCCTCACTTGTTCTCTCTGCCTGATGCTGTTTTTAATATTTTAAACCATTTGTCTTCCTTTCAAAGGCTGAAACCATAAACTGGATGAACTCTTTTCATGTTTTCCATCATTAACGGTGACTCTTCTCTGTGAAGAAGCTTGATTATTGTGTATTTGTAGTTATAACTGGATTAAAGTGGCAGCATTTGTGTCTGATTGCGACCTTCTGCTTGTTCTCCTCCAGTTTTCTCTGCGGTGACGCTGCTGCTGCTTCCTCACAGTCAGGGAAACATCTGGCTGTTCGAAGACTCGGTTCTCATCACCAGGAAGTTACCTGGTGAGTTCACATATGTTGCAAATGCAACACGTATTAAATTCATTCAAGCAGAAACACTAAAAGTTAAATTATAGACATAAAAGAGTCCAGATTCACCCTGATCGTCTTGTTTTCACAGACAGCTCCTCCCAACCCAAAGTGAAGTTTCCCAAGAACCTCCTGACCATCCCTGATAAAAGCAACATCTCCTCGGTGACGGCGTTCCTGACGGTGCCACAGCGCCACCTGGCCAAGGACTGCGCCAACTGCACGCAAGGAATCATCAGCAACAAATCAGGTGGACATGAGGATGACAGTAAATCCAGAACACAGGGTCGAGGTTAATTTCTGCATCGGTATAGAGAGGAGGGAAAAGGGTACAGCTAAACAACGAGATGCCTAACTGTAGCTAAAACTAAGGTAGATTAAATGTAAATTGGATCTGCCTTGGTAAGTTCATCTATAAAAACAATTAAAATCACCAAATGTACAACATCCGTCTGCTAGTAACTGTAACAACAGAAAGTTTTGTCTGATTTTTGACTTTCTGAGAGTCCTTGAATTATTTACATGTAACGTGCTGCTCTGTGCCACATGAAAATCACTTTATTCTACATGTCTCATTTAAAAATTCCCCCCAAATTAGCAGTTTTTCTAAAACCAGATTCTGTAAAAAGCAAAGAATTCTGCACTTTTCAGCCCAACAATGAAGCCGTGACTGGCTCAACAGTCAGATGACAAAAATTCAGAGAGTTTTCAGCTGAACTGCAGGCTGCCTTTAGACGGAACAAACAGGAGACACGTATAGAAGCAAATTAAAGATACAGATAATTGTAAAGTATGTGCAGTAACCACTTATTTGTAGTTCTAGTACCACCTGTGGACACATGTGACAGGAGCAAAAAAACAACTAGAAACTGGACTTGAGAGAGTTCAGGTTGAAGTGACTTTACTCTTTATCTAGAGAATCTCCTGAGCAGTTTTTAAAGAACCTGGAAGATGTTTAATCCAAAATAAAGAGAAGATGTTCATTCATATTTAGGGAGAGGGAGCAGATACATGATGCCTCACTGTAAAGAGTTTGTTCAAAAGTGGTCTTGATGGGAGATTGAAACTACTAAAGTGTAATTTTCTGACCTTTGCAGTGCTCAGGAGCATCGAGCTGAAGGCGGTGGCGGCCGTCAGCGTCCTGCTGTACTCCGGAGGGGAGGAGCTCCAGGTCCGAGGTCCGATCCAGATCAGCCTGCCGCTGGGACACAACACACACCTGAGGGCCTCGGACACTGTCCCGGCCTGGACCTTCAACCTGAAGACAGGTACGAAACACAACCACAGGGGAGCAGAGCACGAAATGACAGCAAGTACAGCAGGTTAAAGTCATGTCTGTGCTGTGTGAAGGTGCCTGGGAGAACCAGGGTCTGGGAATAGTGAAAACAGCCGGTGATGAGCTGGTTTGGACTTACACTGCCTCACATCTGGGCTACTGGATCGCTGCCCCGCTGCCCTCATCCAGAGGTACCTCATCTGCCTTCTCGAACACAGAAACATGCTGCTTGGTACTTGTCGGCTTACACGTTTTATCTTTCAGATTATCTCGGACATGGAGGCTCTCTGGAGTTCTTATCGTACCACACCTACCTGCTGATTGGGATTCTGGGAGGAACCCTGGCTGTAGTGATCGGACTTCTTTCCTTGCTGCTGTGTCACTGCGGGTAAGACATCTCAGAAAATATCCCTCTCTGAGACTGAGTTTAGTCAAGTCTTTGTTATTTATACAGCACATTTAAAAGCATCCCAGTAGAGAAGCAAGAACTAAACAAGTCAAATGCAGTTCAGGCACAACCCTCTGAGTTTATGTCTCATGTCACAGCTGTCTTAGCCTCAGTTACAATGAGAAACACAGAATTTTTAGTTTTTCACTGAATCTGGTTCGACTAAAGAGTTTATTGCACAATTTTTGTACACTTTCTGGCTGATAGAATCCTTCATGTTTTCAAAGATACCATGACTTTCAAACCTGTTCACGGGTTTTGGGTTTCAGCAGGTTAAACCAAGACTATCTACAGAGGAGCAAACTGATTATTTTTCTTACAAATAAAAAGTGTAATCCAAACACAATAAGCCTTTTGTGGTCACAGTGGCAGCAGCTTTACAGTGTCGCTTTAAAGATGTCTTTCCCTTACAACAGTCCTATCTGTCCTCATGAGGTTTTGTTTTTCGTACAGAAGCTCTCGTCGGGAGCCCAGGAGGAGACGAGCGAGATTTTCCAAACTCACGGTGGTGAAAAAAGACCAAACCACCTCCACCCACATGGAGGAGGGTTTGTTGTTCCGATCAGGCGACACCAGTCTCGCCTCCTGCAGCGTCCAGTGTGAACCTTCATCCACGCCGAGGCACAAAGCCAACTACAACATCTACGTGGAGGATCCGGGGGGTCGAACCGGCGCTCCTCTCTACGAGAACATCGCCTCGGATCGGATGAAGGGCTCCCAGCCGCCGCCTCACTACATCAACAGCGAAGAGGTGGCTCGGCTCAGGGAGAAGTCGGAGCAGAACCGGGCCAACATGAACACTGACAGCTTCTTTCAGGATAAGCTGGTTCACATCTACAACCAGCCGGTGGCCATTATTCAGGCTCCGGAGCTTTTCGGTGCTCAGGAGCAGCACAAGTCGGCCACGTTTCCCCGCAACGGGGTCGAGTACGACGCCCACTCAGAGCCTGCGAGCAAAGACAGCTACACCCAGACTCTACCCAAAGTCCCTCACCACCACTCCCAGGGTGGCAGCAGCCCCCAGCAGAGCAGCCAGGATGACCCCCAGCCTCTGGAGACGCCTCCCCAGGGTCAGGGCCCGAACGCCGGGGTGTGGGGGCGCTACAGCAACCTGCTGGAATCCTCCGTCTCTGTTCCCGGGACTCTGAATGAGGCGGCCGGTATGGAGGCCTTCAGCAGCGGGCATGGCGTGCCCAGCGAGCTGCAGGGGATTTCAGAGCGCACCTTGCTGGAGCTGACTCGCGGTAAGTCTCACCCAAGGGCCTGGTTCGTCTCCTTGGACGGCAAGCCGGCCGCTCAGGTTCGCCACTCCATCATCGAGCTGCAGAGCCGCCACCGGCCGCCGAGCAGCAACGACACCAGCCTGGACTCGGGGGTGGACATGAACGAGCCCCAGCAGAACATCCGGGAGACGGAGCGTGACCGGCCTTCGATCAGGGCGTCTTCGCTGCAGCACCACAGCCGAGGACGGTACGAAGAGCAGGACCTGAGCAGCAGCGAGAGCGGCACCACGGCCACCTGCACGCCAGAAGACCCCTCCCTGAGGAACATTTTAGACGGGAGCAGCGGGGCTATTCCCAACATTCCCGAAGAACGGGATGGGATGGATACGTCCAGCGCTCAGGAGGACAGCGAGTCCAGGGGGACGCCGCCTCCACGGCGCCTGAGGAAGGTGAGGGAGAAGGGGAAGACGGAAAAGAGGAGCGCCAAGCACGTCCGCGAGGGCCGACCTCTGACCAAGAGGAGTTAGAGTTAAAGCAGTGAGACAAGCAGTTCAGTTATCAGTTAAACATCTCATTAACCGTTTATTGAGTAATCCGAATACGGTCGCTCCGTCTCAAATCATCAGATTTTCAGAACAGTTTCTGCTCAACCGTCACAGATTTGCCTGAAATTGTTGTAGCGTAAAATATCAATATTTGTAGCAATATTGCCAAAATTATAGCTTGATGAGTCAAATGCTGTCTGAGATAAACATCTTTTTTAAGATGACTTAACCCCATCCACCAACTTCAGCAGGTTTTCCTCGTGTTAAAATTTGAGGCTCTTTAAACAACAATTTCTCAGGAACTATTCAAAATAAAATCCTGTCATTTCTCATCATGTCACTGATTCAGAATCTGCCATATTGGACAAGTAAATTAATAGTAAACTTTATTTTACTTGGATCAGACTATCTACTATTTTGTTTATTTATGTGACCAAGTATTTTATTTTAAAAGTATTTTAGACATTTTGTTCTGTATTATTGCGACATGCAGATACAAATGGTTCAGAAACATCACTTGCTGAATTTTGCATTATCACATTTTTTAGTTAATTTGTGCTTAAATATGGGACTTTTAATGACGGCTTCAAATTTTTTTCAGATTTCAACTCACCCAGAATCAGACATTATTTGACCTACTTGTCCAGCATATCAGAATCATAACATAACGGCCTTCTATCGGCTTTTATCTTTAATAGTTCCCATGATACTGTTGTTCAAACAGCCTCATATTTCAATGTGCGAGTAAAGTGCTTTGGAAACTGCTTGGTACATCTAATTGAAATTTCACAGATACCATTTTAAATATCCATAATTTATGATAAAGAAAAAGTTTCACGCACATCAGCAATGGTCGAGCAGAAGGCCTTTGATGATTCAAGATGGAACAACCCAATTAGTTCTAACTACTTGTGTTCACACAGGCATTGTTGTTGTTGTTGAGTTATGTGATTGTACAACTTTGCCAAAGAATGCATAAGCTAATTTAAGAAATAAAGCAGGATCTGTGTCGCGTAAAAGCATCATGTAGCTGTTGTTAGACACCATATGTTCACTCGTTCTCCCGAATCTGAAGATCACCAGCGAGATTCTTCACAGCAAATGTCCGTGTGAACACGATGTCCCACAGTCCCCAGTGCTGGCATTATAGAGGGTGCCTTCTTGCTAGAGCCCGACCGATACTGGACTTTTGGCGCCGACAGCAATTTTAGGTGGACTAAATTCTGAGATATTGGCTGATATTGTTTATATTTAGTAGAGTTATGTTGCAGAGTTAGGACAAACGATGGGGTCATTGATTGTGTAATGCATTGCTTGAAGTTAATAAAGTAGTTGGCGACTTACAATGAGGACACCGCTTGGCTCCGCACCACTGTCAGCTCAGCTACATGTGCTGCAGAGCATTTTAAACAGAGTTGGAGCTGCTCTTCTGGACAAACTATGAAGATTTCGAAATTACCCTAAGCATCTTTTTCTGCATTGTGTTCCGTAAAAGAACGTTTTCATGTCGTTGCATATCGGACTACAAATCCGGCGATACCGATATATCTGGGACAGGCCATAATCGCAACCCTATATCGGTCGGGCTCTACTCCTTACTGCCTGTATTCATGAAATAGATTACATAAAGGCACAGTATTTGTCTATAATTAGTAAAAATCTGGTGAGTTTGCAGGATGGACACAGATACAGGTACTATGTGTAGTGCACTTATCCTCACCACAAATGCCTGCTGTAAATTAAATAACAAAGAAGCTTTCCCGATTTGCAGTGTTCACATCTTGTTGTGATCACACGGTCTCGCTTTACTTAAAAAAAAAAAAAGAAAAGAAAAGAAAAAAAAGAGGCTCTGGGTTTTGTTGACAACTAATCTGAATGTGAGTTAAACAATTTAGCTGCAACTTTCCAAATCCAACCCTGGACTCTGATGGATTTTGGAGTAAAGCATTGATGTACATTGTAAAGCTAAGCTGCCATTTTGAAGTTCACACCTGATATTCAAGGTTTTAAGAATGCATGAAAATGAATGTTTCTTTGTGTGTATGAACACCGTAGAGCTGACATTGTCATAGCTGTTAGATTAAATGGTGACTGAGTTTTTCCATTTTACTGTCTCGTCTAGAGGAGACTCAGCGTTGTACACTAAGCTGCGAGTAAATACAACTTTAAGCCACATCCTTGGATACCACACGACCTGACACTAAAACATGGCATGATGTGTTTGATGGGATTCAACGACGACGATTTTTAATTTAGGAAGTTTGAATCCTTTTGTTTACTGTTTCATGCATTATTACTGTATTTTCTTTTTGATAAGTGGGCATCTTGTCATGTAACACCACACGGTTGGTGCCTTGGAGATCTGCTTTTAGCTGTACCTCTTGATATTGGTTATAGCAAAAGTATACGGCATGACCACAGGATTACTGTTTTTTACCAAGAGATGTGACAAAAAATATGGTTTGAAACAGATTTTTCAATTCAGAGTGAGGTATTTGGTCATACGGTCCACAGAATAGCGATATTTAGCTCAAAGTCTTTGTACAGGTTGGTGAGATGTTTGGTTAGCTAGTCAACCACTTTGGTCCAGACAGAAATATATATTTACTGATTTTGCACAGACACTCGTGTATCCTAATGACACCGACCACTTCCTCTAAGGTCTGGGTATCATCGGATCATCTAGAATTCATTTGTAATTAAACAAAAAAACGTATCTCTCTTCTTTGTTTCAAAACCAACAAAAATCCCAAAAACGTTTTAATTGTTGGATTAAAAAAAACAAAGCAGCGATCAAATACAGTTTTTTTTTTAAAGCTACAAATGAATGAAGGAATCTCTGATGATACTCAGACCCTCTAATGCCACCATGAGGTTTGTGGTTTTGAGTTGATTTCTCAGTGATGGATTGAAGCGTACATTCCCGTTCCTCTCAGGATAAACTCTTAATAACTTTGTTGATCCCTTAACTTTTCATCCGGCACCATCATTAAGTCCAAATTTTACCTGTTTGATTCTTTACTTTATGACTAAATAGCTGCAGAACTAATGACATTCCCGTCAGCCTCAGCTGTACTTTGTGGTTAGCGCTAACTTGCATGTTAGCATGCTAACACGCTGGAATAAGATTTGGGAACATAGCAAACATATACGTGCTCAGCATGTTAGAACTGTCATCGTGTTCATCTTAGCACGGTGACGTGAGCCTTTAGCTCAAAGCACAGCGGTGTCTGTGTGCGGCCTTATAGACCTGCTAGAATAGCTATACACGCTTCAACTTTTAACAAATGTTTATACAAAAAAGTATTTTACTTAGTAAAAATGTCAAACAATAAGACCACATGCACGTCTGCCTTTCATATCTGTCCTTTACTGACACGGCAGCTTCTGCTCCAAGCTAAATAAAGCACATCACATCATGCAGTATACAACAGTATGCAACCCCTGTGCAATATCACATCGATGTCAAATGATTGTAAACTCTTTTACTTGTCAATAATTGCATTATTTCTAAGTTGAACAGTGGGGTGGTTCCACTCATGCAGCCCCGTATCATCACACTCCCACCTCAGGACGATGCATTCAATGTGGTGGTCCTGACCAGGTTCACATACTGGATCCCATCTGAGCCCAACAAATTTATCTTGGTCTTATCGCGACCATAGAATGTGCCCCAGGCTTCTTTTAATGTTCTTTAGAAAAAACAATCTTGTAGTTTTGTTTCAGTGGTTAATATCTTGATGTGATGAAGCGTCCCTCACACCACCACGTCTGAAGCCGGCGTCATACTGTGGACTCAGGTTGCAGCTCTGATTAGTGGTACTACTGCACCTTCTAAACCTTCTAAACCTTCTGCTGCTTTACACATATTTAGTTGCTCATTGATTGTCCTGTATCCTTATCCAGCTTTGTAAAGTCTCGCTATCAAATGTTTCAGTTCTTCTGACAATTGTTTTCCACATGTAGCCATGATGCAGACGTGCAGACACAACCCACAGGTTTTTGATTCAGAGAAAATAATCTCCTGTTCAGCTTGTTATTGAGCAGGGATACGGTTTTAAATCATTTGACATTTAAGTGATTTCACGCAGGGGGAGCGCTCACTTCTGCTGTAGACTGTACTCACACCTTGCAACTGCATTGGCACACAACATTCATAGAAGTTTCCTACAAGAATCTCAACGATACAATACTGCAAACTGATGAACCGTGACAATATTCCACCACAGGAAAGCCGTTAAGCTAGCAATATTTCCAGTGAATTTAAAATTTAAGACGATTTTGCCATATTTAGTCTTCCATAGCGCTACTGCTGTTACATTTTGTCACTGACGTATGCGGTTTGATTCTGTACATTCATACGTGTTCTTTTGTATGTATATAGTAAAGCAACATTTTATGTATTCTGTGACAGTGGTTTAATTCATTCGTGCCGTTTTTCTTCCATTTAAAAAGGTCTGAGAGGTGCATCAGTGTGTTCCACTGGCCGGCTGAATGATACAGTTTTGTCGTACGAGATGTGCTGTCGATGTGAATTCTTTTAGCCTACAGAGCAAGCGTCTTTTAATGGGAGTGTAGAAAAAAAGCCTGAGTTTTGTCATTTTAAATGTAGCGACAAACTGAGCACTTAATCCTTCAGTATGCTAACAAATGAAAATCCTCTCCTCTGCTAAGTCATCGGCTTCAAAACACAAACATATCCCAGCTTCAACAGCGACGTGAGGAGTAGTTTGCGAACACTTTGTGCTGGTGAATCTCGACGAGCAAAACGACCCCACTGCCACTCCTGTTTCCAAGTGATCTTGCTGAATGTATTTGTACTGATTTCAGTGTGTTCTACAGTGTGCTCCTCTTGTGTCTTAGCCATCGAACCTCATGGGCTTTTGTTCCTTCCAAAATGGACACCACTTGTGTTTACCTCTGTATCGATAGTAGTGTTATTAGTCTTGCCTTTTTGTGCACTAAGTTAATAAACTTACTTGATACCAACTATTGTTCAGGAGTCTTTTTATTTACACACTCGAGTACACTGCAACAGCGATGTGAAACTGACAGAAGCTTTGATAGTTTGCCTTAAATGGATCAGATGCAAACGGCCACTAGTCGTCTGCCCCGTTCATGCCCTCACATCTTCCCTGGAGGAAGTGTTTTCTTAGATAAAATAAACTTTAAGGACAGTAGATGATCCATAGTACCTGGTTGCACCTGGTTGTAGTCTCAGTAATGTCTCTCTGGCACAACTTGCAAAAACGGAATAAATCAAAATCTTCTTCTCATGCATGTTTATTAATTAAATTACTATAAACTTGCAAAAGAAGTGCAGATACATCACTGAAGCCTTAAGCAACCAGACTTCAATAAAAAAATACTTTAAGTCTCTGTCTCCCTCTGATGACGCCTGCCTATCAGGACTCCAGTTACCGTTAGCTCTGGAGGGAGTCCGTTTGTGTTTTTAATGTTTACAGATCCTCTCCTCTTCGGCTGCGGTCGAGTTGGTCTGGCAGGAAAGCTCACAGCAGCTTTGCGGTCTGGTTCCTGTCCGCACAAACCAACAAAAAGGTTCACATGTGACTGTTTTTCAGTTTCTGTCGCTGCAGGACACCTATTAGGTGAAGCAGCGTTGCGTTTTGTTTGTCTGTTTTGGGAAACGTGCACAGATGTTCCGTCTTCTGCATCACACTGACTGAGATGATGAAAAGAAGAGCTGTCAGTTTGGTTTGACTCAGCGTCTGTTGCTGCAATGCACAAGCTCTGAAATCTGCCAGCTAGTTGTTGTGTGTTTAGTGCCACTCCTGGGACAAACAGGTCCTTTAAGCTATTTTCTGGTTGCTTGGCAGAGTCACTGGAAAGGCAGGAGGCCGACGTCAGGGAGGTCTTCGTCTTGCTGCTTCTCCAGGTCAAAGGATTATAAATGACATATCCATCCACCGGGCAGGAGTTTGATTTCCTCAGGATTTGGTCCACACAGTCCATGTGGAACTGAAGTGTGAGTCCACATGTGGAGTGAAAAGGGTGAGAGAGACCAGAGGACTAACAGGTCTGTGTTACACTCATTTCAATCAACGTGATTTTATAGATTCGTGGTTTGATTTTGGAGTTTATCATAAGTAACCCGATGTAGTTCACAAAGTCAGAAGAAAAAAAAAGATAAAACTACTGTTGGATTTGAATTAAAGGCCCCACATTGTTCTCATTCTTTAGCAAATTAAATAAAGTTTCACAGCACACGTTGTCTTCCATATTTCAGCTCAGAACCAAAGAAGTTGATTTCTCCACGACTGTAAAACTCCTGGTTTTCGTCCTGTTCAGTGTCTGTAGCTACAAATGCTGCTAAGCTGCTGCTGGCCCCGCCCCCTTCAGGAAGAAGACTCTCTCTGTGATTGACAGCTCTGAGCAACACTTTTACATGAATGAATGTGGGAGACCAGGACTTTTTATGTTCTGACTGTCTGTCTGAGGATCATTTGGCATAAAAAGCTGTTTTCAACTTCTGTGATTGGTGAGTTTGTCAGACGACGTCATAAAACCAGTATTTTATAAATGTAATATTAACAGATTTAAGTTTACACCTCCAACAATACGACTGCCAAGAAACATAATAAAAGTGAATTTTCGCCATATGGAACCTTTAAGGACAGATAGTACACTTGCTCACTGATGCAACAACATGTGACCCACTTTCAAATGTGACCCAAATTCAGTATTGAGCTTTGACATTTTGGATTTTGGAGCACTAAACTAACAATCTGGAAAGACATGAGTGTGACAAAGTCCTACCTGGTGATGGCAGGGCAGAGTTCGGACATGCTGACCCAGCATGAAACTCTGCAGACAGATCCGACACTGCTGCCCCTCGCTCAGGAGCCGGGACCCTGACCTCAGCCTGACTGTTGGCAAACACTTCAGCACAACGTCTGGTGAAGGGTCTGCAGCCTCTGGAACAAGACTGAGGACGAGGGAATGGACACTGTACAAACATATTCTAGATTCTCAAATATGGCTAAAGCTAATTCTATAATCAATGTTTAGAAATGAGACAGAGGGAAGAGAACCAAGGTTTACATTCTAACCGAGCACTAGAACTGGGCGCTACAACTTCACGAGCACATCAGGCTGGTGTTTGGTTATTTCATGAAGCAGAAGATGTGGCTGTATTAACCTCCTACCTGTCATTTTCTGGCTCAGAGGTCGCTGCCTTCGCTTCACCACTCAGCTCCTCCGTCACCAGGCTCCACTTCGCTCTTCTTTTCTGTTTGGAGAAATGTTCATCTATTTGACATCCACTAACGGAGACGGTTAAACTCCAGAACCACCACAAATCACGTTTCTTTAGAAGCTCTCAGCTTCACAGAGAAATGAGAATTTATCTGACGTCGGCCCTGTAAGACCAACACGTTCAGGGGGTGAAAATGGAAGTAACAGCTGAAGGATGTTTTTTATGGAACACGCAGGACGAGTGTATGTTGACAGTTTCATTAAAATGAGCTTACCGTCCGTGAAGCAAACGGATGCTGTGGGTGGCAGCGCTTCCCTTCACAGTCCTCACACAGATAGAAATACCTGCAGACTGTGCATCTAGGAAAATAGAAGCATGAATCAGCACAGTGCGATCAGGAAATCAGCTTCTCGGTGTCACAAAATCTTTTTCTTTTTTTTTTTACATTTGCAGACACTAGACTCAAAAATACACCACAATGTGTTCAAACTGACTCACAGCTCTTATCCTACAAATTACACTGAAGAAAAACACAACTGCAGCTTTCAAATGATGTAAAATCTCACATATTTTATTCCAGTTAAAATAGTGCTGAGCTTTCGTGCACCGAAAGTTTCTGATCTGTTCAACTGGTGACAAATTCTCAACTGCTGAGTTGATCTCATCCTGATCAGGGGTTTAAGTTCTTTAGTCAAACGACATGATGATACAGATGACAAGATGAAGACGAGAACAGCTGTTGGATGTTTCATGTCAGCTTTTAGTCTAACAAATCATTTCAGACAGCTCTGGATGAATCCTTATTCCCCTACGTTCAAAAGAATAATTTTAATAAAATGTGACATGCTGTGTTTATATTTGTTCAGTGCAGGTGCGAGGACAGCGATCTCACTTGAAACATTTTCCACTGATGGGGCAGATTCTGCAGCTGTGACACACGACTCCCAGGTGTCTGTCTGGTTTCTCTCTTTCAGCAGCCGTGAAGAGCTTCGCTGTGTTTTTCAGCTGCTGCTGGAGTAACTTCAGAGAGCTGAAGCGCTCCCTGCACAGAGGACACTTCACCCACTCCTCCTGCTGCGACGGCGTCTGGTGGTCTGCCCACACCTTCATGCAGGAGATGTGGACGTTGTTGCCGCAACCGAACCTGGGAGACGTGAGGACAGCGTGTGAGAGGGGAGAAAATCTGCCAGAGAAGGCCTGAAAATAAACTAGTTAAGCTGTGTGTGAATAAAAACTTAAGCTGAGCAGGAACAGAAGCTTAAAATTTGCTGATTCACAGAGGTCTTTGAATTTCTTTGTCCTTTTCCTTCGCAGACCCTAACAGCTGCTATCACCCCCAACAACATCCAGCTTCAGAAGTCTTATAATATTTCAATACATGAAATGAAGTATGGGCTGCAAGGTGGCGCAGTTGGTAGCACTGTTGCCTCGCAGCAAGAAGGTTGCCGGTTTGCGTCCCGGTGGGGGCACCGGAATCTTTCTGCGTGGAGTTTGCATGTTCTCCCCGTGCAGCGTGGGTTCTCTCCGGGTTCTCCGGCTTCCTCCCACACAGTCCAAAAACATGTTGAGGTTAATTGGACCGTAGGTGTGACTGTGAGTGTGCTTGGTTGTCTGTCTCTAAGTGTAGCCCTGTGATAGACTGGCGACCTGTCCAGGGTGTCCCCTGCCTTCGCCCTAAGTCAGCTGGGATAGACTCCAGCCCCCCGCGACCCTAATGAGGATTAAGCGGTGTATAGAAAATGGATGGATGGATGGAGATGAAGTATGTTTTAAAAAAAGATTACATTGCACGAGTCCAAACTCATATTTTCTAACATATGGCAGCTCTTCTTTCACCACACAGAGACCCTGCAGTTCCAAACTGTACCTCAGTAAAGCCAACTGTTTTTCTTCTTCTTCTTCCCTCGACTTTATCGATTTAATTGTTAAAATATTCAATCCTATAATATATCAGTGATCTCAGTAAAACATCTGGTGGCCATTTCTGTGGCTCTTTTTCCACATTTCTGCTTGACATAAGCTGCCGATCGCTTCAAAATTCCTTCAACTGGTGAGTCTGAACCCTGGACCTCATCCTGACACCACACACCTGCAGTACGTGACGGGCTGTTTTCTCTCCAGCAGCTCCTCCTGGCAGATCGGACAAACATCCTGGGCGTCGATCGCTTTCCGGCAAACGCTTCTGGCCTCCTGGTCCGGTTGGTTCGGGGTCCCGGAGGCGGCAGACGAATTCAACTCTGTCCGTTGGGCTTTGGTTTGGTGTAAGCCATGGAGCAGCTCTGAGATCTGCCTCTCTATTAGTCCAAGCTGAAATGAGTCTAGAGCAGAGTTTTTCACAACATAGAACGGCATCATCTAAATCAGCATTCTGACATCTGTATAAACAAACTGTAAAAGCTCCTTCAGCTCTGAGGATATATGTAAATGTCATCTCATTTTTCTAATTCCTGTACTTTAACCCTCATCCTACCAAAGTGGGCTCTCTGGGAATGAGACATCCAAGCTCCTGCTGGACATCATTAATCACCACAGAAGTCTTTGTCATGGTGCTGCTTTACCAGCTAAACGCCCACAGTGCTCTCTGGTTGCCACCATGAATAGCCAGCAGTCAGAGTTCATTTGTATATTGTGTAAAACAAAACTCGACACTGCAGAAAAAGCTATTATCAAAACAACTTACACTCGTGTTCTCTGGGGAGTCTGAATTTCCGCAGTAAAACCCTGTAATGACAAAACTTAGAGGTTCATTCTGCGTGTTAGCGCTCATGGAAAAGCGAGTATCACGCATTTGTAAACATTAATGCTGTTGTTGGTCAGCCTGGATATCATCAGAATTTTTAAAATTGAAAACACTCTGCTTGTACTTTATAAAAAAGAAACCTAACATGACAAAAACATTCCCTTAACAAAAGTGAATTTTGCTGTAGTGCAATTGGGTAAAAAGAAAACAAAACAGAACTAAAATATCTAATCAAAGATAGATCTACAACACAAAAAAATCTACGTTTCTTTAATTTACTTTTTCATATTTTTTGTGAGAGACAAACAGCAGTAAGACCAGCTCCCAATCCAGTTACTAACCTCTGCCAAAGTACAAAAACATCATCACAAATAGTGATTCTGCTCAGGCTGACGTGCAGATCGGCTCCACTACAAAACCACCCCAATCATTCTGGACTGATTCATTCTCTCCAAATTCAAATCAATCAGATCAAATCAGGTTTGTTGTCATTGTGCTGTACATACACAGTAGTACAGGCAAGATGAGAGAGCGTTTCTTCAGGATCATTTCGTAAGTTTTGTGGAATGAACGTCTGGGATAGGAAAGACATCAAGTCATCTGGCTAAATGTTTTTGTGTTTTTTTTTTGTTTTTTTTTTTTTTTTTTTTTTTTGTTGTTTTTTTTTAATATATACGTATTGCAGAAAGACATTTTTTTCCTAACATCATGCAGCCTTGATTGCAGCAACTGTTTTCCATATCAAACAGAACTAAGTGAGAGAACTGATGCTCTTTTTGTACTTGATACACAGTTAAATACCTGTTTTCACCTCTCACATTTAAAAAACCCAACATATGAACACACCACTGGCTAAAACATCCTCCTGTGTTATTTCTTGTGTGTGTCACTGATACCAGCAGATGTGTTTGCATGGCTCCTGCTCTTTGGTGAACCCGGGGCAGGTGCATGTATGCGGGTCGCCCAGGAACACCTGAACAACAAGAGTTAAAGTGAGGATAAACTGCATTTTCTGAGCTTTTTGAGCAACATGAAGCCTGAAGCCCAGAATAATTCACCTTCAAGTTTCTGGCCTCTCCTTCCTCTCTGAGCAGGAATCCTGTCGGTCCGTAGGACTTCAGGAGTAACATGGTCGTGCTGAGAGCTTCGTCCTGATGTAAACTCACTGCATCACTGGCAGTGTTCCTCCAAGCTGCCCTCCTGAACATCCTGCAAGAAAGAGTACTTTACGGATCTCCAAAGCAACTGGTGCAGCAACTTCTTTATCATAAAACCCTAAAACACACATAGTTTACGTGAGGTTGATTCCATCTCAGATCTTCACCTTCTGCTCGACCGTCTCTGATTTGAGTGAAACTTTTTCTCTATAAACTACTAATATCTAAAATAGTATCAGTGAAACTTCAGATTCATATATTGAATAATTTCTTTTTTATTACTATTATTTGTATTTCGCAGAGGTAAAAAGACACGACAAAAAAACATCTTCAGATAAAATGAAGCTTTGACAAGTTACTACAACAAAAAACAATTACTATCAATAACACCTACTTTCAAGGAAGGAATTTAAATCAGATTTTATTGCTTCAGTGAATTTGTGGATCCAAAATACCATACCAAAATACAAAATATTATTATTAGTTACTTATTTGAGGTATTCTGACATCTTTATATGTAATAAGAGCGTTAAATAATTATAAATCAGACTAAGAGAAAACACTGTAGCTGCTAGTACTCACTGTGATAATAACTTAGAGTAGAATAACTTTACTTTTCCCACATCACAGTGTTACAGGCTCCAGCTGCTCCTCCTGTTTAGCTAACACATACAAGAGAAGCTAGTTCGAGTTGTTAGCTAGTTTCCCTTTACGACTGTTGTGACTTATTTAAAGCAACATTTTACTGTTCTTGATAACAACGTGAGTATTTTTTACTTTTTATATTCTCTTCTGCTGCACTATACTCTCAAATTCCCCCACATTAAGACCGGAAAACAAACTAACAAAAAAAGACCGCTAGCTTGAAACCGACGCTGCTAGCTTAACATCAACCAGGCTACATTAGCAGCAGCTGTTAGAAACGAGCTGCCGGCTAAAGTCCACAACAGTCCGCTGGAATCTCACCTGTCGGATAAATAAACTCACCTGCTCAGGTGTGAACAGACAGCAGCTACCTGTCTCTGTCACCGGAAGCAGCCTCGACTGTGTGAGATACTATTGCCATGGTAACTGTTGCTAGGGAAGGCTTGGCCTGCAGAGGGCGCCATTGCCTTCTGCTGATTGGTCCATTTTTCTGCAACCAGTAATGTAGAAAAAGATCATATAATAATAATAATAATAATAATAATAATAATAATAATAATAATAATAACAATAACAATAATCTGTTGATTTAAAAAAATGTTTTGGAATAAATATATGTGCTTGCATGTGTATAAACATATTTAAGTATATGTATGTTTGCATGCATACAAACATAAATATGTATGTCTACGTGTATAAACACATACAAATATGCATATTTTATGTGTGTAAATAAATATAAATAAAGTAATATAATATGTAAAAATATATTTCTGTTGAAACACAGTAAACACAAAAAATCGGACTAAGTTAAAGCAATGTCAGCAAGTTTCCAATGATTACAACATTACAACCTAAATACATTTTTCTCTTATATATTTTGTATCACAAATCATGTAAATATTTCAAATATACAGTAGCTGCACACCTTGCTCAAAGTCAGCAGTTACTGTGGATTGTAACCATGGCAACACGGAGGCTGTTGCTAAGGAGTTTTTCCACCTGCAGAGGGAGCCGTTGCTAAGGAATAGAAGCCTTCTTGGTCCATCTTCTGCAGCCAGTAAAGTGGTTAAAATGTCTATCATTCTCATATATATGTGGATAAATAACAGGTTCTTGAGGTGACTTGAGGTTTTATTGCTTTAGCTGTTTTACTTTTACTTGTTGCATTTTAGCCTCAAATATCAAACTTATGCAGCAGTGTTCTTGAACATAGCAGCAATAAACACTAAAAAGTAGACAGTTAAAGGTTTCCCTCTGTGTGTTAACTCAGTAGGTTGCTGATGATTTACAGGACTCACAACCTACATGTGATTTTCTGTCATATTTCCTATACGAAGCATTAAAACCTGCTGCTTTCCTGACGTTGGTGGTGACTTTCGGAGGGATGTGTCTCCACAGAGGGCGAGCAGTGATGTCATCCTCGGCTCCGGTCAGTTCTTATCAGGAGAGTTCGGCTCAGAGTCGCCTCCGCTGCCGCACCGAACACCAGCTCCTGGAGAATAAAATAAAACAGGCTTTCATTGTTCAGGTTTATCAGGGAAGGTAAAACTCAAAGACGAAAAGGATTACGCTCAACACTGGCTTTAATTTTGTCTTCTTGTGTTAAGGTAAGCTTCTTTAATTTAAGAGGAAATTTATGGATGGCCACTTTCCGAGCGCTGAAGATGCTAGAAACAGGTTAAATGTTAGTTTGTGAATGCTGCATTTAAGTAGAAATGCTGTATTTAAGGCTATTTGTTGCTGATGTTATCAACTGGGATGCACATGAAGGTGTTCAACAGCACAGAAAGAAAACTAAGAAAGTAAAAATGTGTGAATAAATCAAGGTACAGCTGAGACAGAAAGTTTATTTTCTAGTAAATCTGAAAAAGCTTTCTACTAATTGTGTATTAATCAGTGAATGTACTATCGCCTCCACTTTAGTTCTCGATAAATGATCCTCGTGTGAACATGTGAAGTCCAGACACACATTCAGTGTTTCTTCAAATGCACCTTTGTCACACCTAACAACAAAAATCTGCTCACATGGTGGCGGTGAAAAGGGCCAACGTGTTTCTAATAAAAGGCACTTTTCATGATAAATTGTTCTGACACGGATGGGTTTACACAATAAAGGAGTGGGTGATGTTGAGGGAGTTCCAGGAAGATGCATTGTGTGTTTAAGAAGATTCAGATCTAAAAATAAAAATAAAAAACAGCCAAAATTCACAGTCAGGCGAAATGAATCGTCAGTTGGTGTGTGTTGCAGGATTGTGAGATGTGTTTTTATACTGAAGCAAACTGAGAGGAAAGGTGGAGAAATGAGGGGAGGTGATTTTAGTTCATTAACTCTGTTCGTACATGAGGAAATCTGATCTATTCAGTCTTCCTCTTAAAGTTGTTGTGCGATCTCTTTCCTCACAAACATCTTCCTCTGATACTCATCCAGTCTGAAAACCTTCACACACTTCAAACATGATATTTTGCTCACTGGCAGCTTTTTAGACTTTCATTACATAATTTAACAACTACTTATCAGTGCAAAGTTACTCCGAAAAACATCATTAAGGAATTTACTCAAGTCAATTTGTCTGTTTTCTTAATGCAAATGTATTTCTTTGTGTGCATTCATTTCAAGTTTTGCTGATTTCCAGTTAGCTGAACTTGAAAACTTCTAATTCTCCCTTTAGAAGCTATAAACAGGAGCCTTTAACTTGAGCCACGTTGACTTAAAGTGACGACTTGAATGAATGAACAGCTGAGAATTGATTCAACTCATTCAATTAAGTTTATAGCAATCAAAACTAGCTCATAAACAGACTTCCCAGGATGCATTGTGAGAGGGTTTAAACTCCCCCCGAGGCTGATTTGTTGTAGTTTAAGAAAACAGACGAGGTGGTAACTTGCTGTGTGCATCTAAGTTGGATACGGTTAGTGTTGAATTCAGTCTCTACATCTGTGGATGTTTAATGTATCTCACTGTGAGCAGATTCAGATAATAAATTACTGTAGAAATGCAGCCAGATTCTCGTCATCTGTTTTTCTAAAAACTGTAAAATCTGATTGGAGCTAAAAACAAGAACGACCATAAACAGAAGGCTGCTGTGAATCTAACACTGTTGGTGCAACAGTTTATAAAACACAGTCTGAAGCAGCGATTGGATTTTAGCAGCTAAAACTAGAGCTGATCATTTTACACTGATGCTGACTTCAGCGGCTGAGGCTGTGTGTTGGTAACGTTAATTAATGAAGAAAGCATTTAAACTTGGAACATGTAAATGAGAAACAAGGCTGTGACCACCAGCCATGTGACTTACTGATGTATTTTCTCAAGTTCAGCTCATTTCACGCAACGATTTCCCTGAGGTTTGCACCAAATGGATCAATAAAGTTTTATTCTATTCTATTCTATTCTATTCTATTCTATTCTATTCTATTCTATTCTATTCTATTCTATTCTATTCTCTTTAATCCAGCCAGTTTAACGCTCTCCCAAGTCAGCTTTAAACGGAATCATCAGCCATTAAGGCAACAAGGGACCCTTTTAAAACTTAAATTGACAAAGGATCCATATATTCTGACCTACATTAAACACCACATCTTGATTGTATCTACTCCACGGCAGCAACAGCGACTGCAAATTCAGACAACAGATTTCAATCAGAGCTGTCATAATTTCCACTGCTGCTGCCGCCAGGACATGATGTGCCGACTGTGGCTGGAGATAAAAAAAAAAAAAAGTGTGAATCACGACGATCCGGTTGATGATCAGGAGTTTGGTCGTTTCCCTGAACGTGTCAGTTGCTGCATGTTTGAATGCTTCCAGCTGAAGTGACACCGAGGCTCAAACTGCACACGAAGCATCCTAATATTGTTCACTCTGCAGGTATTCACTGTCTTTTGGCTAAACCTTGGTTAAACTTGCTCGACGTGCATAATAAGCCTGCAGGAAGGAAGCCGTGGGGAACAGAGGAAGCAAAAGGCCAAATCTGCAACCTCATGTCCAAAAAAAGGGGAGATGTGCAGATTAAAAGCCGCTCCGGAGGCGTAGTTTCACTCTCAGTTTGTTTACATGACCTCTGATCAAGGTGTTGTTCAGTTTTACTGATGCCAGAAACTTCAAATACAAACAGAACGAACCAAACAACACGAAGCGTGGCGCCTGAGTGTTGAAGTTGTCCTGAAAATGTGATTTTGTGGATGCTGCTGTCAACACACGGTGTGACGGATCAGCTCGGCAGCTGCTGCAATGCAGGAAGCAGTTTTATTATTGAGCTCTTGGGGGAAAACTATTTGTGATAGTGTTGAAATTTTAAAATAACTACCAACGAAACATAAAAATAACATCAAGTATGAAGGTGGTGGTGTGTGGTTTATTACAGCATGTCGCAGAAATATCACTTTAATGTCAAATAACTCAGATAGTTCAACAGTTGCATTCATTTTGAAGTTGAACAGTCAAGTATTTCCTCTTATTAATGATCAAAATTAACACTTTCATAAGACTGGGTTAAAAATTCAGGCCCCAGAGCAGAAACTGAGTGCAATGAAAGTCCAAACATGTTCATAAAATGAGCCGTGAACAGTTTTGCTGCATCATGGCTCCAAATGGAACAGAACTGAACAGAACTGGGAAAAAGAAAACTGGTTGTAAGACTTTACAAAGATGGAAGATCAGTGAGAAACTAAAGATCAGTGGAACACAGTTGCAGCAGTAAATAGGTCTAGAAGGAGCCACAGTAGCACTGGTCAGGGCAGCACTGGTTGTCCTACTGAAATGACTAAAACTCCCTTCGTCTTGGCTCAGGAGTGATCGATGGAGATCAGAGTTTCTGTGAAGCCCAGACAGGGTGACGGACGCCTCTATGGACGGAGGATGTTGTTGCTGCTCAGAACAAAACCACGACATGAAACTTGCCTAAAGAGCATAAAACCAACCCTGATAAATGTGGAGCTTTGGTCACATGAGATGAAGGCATATTCAGGAAGGAAGCAAGCATCTCCACGTTGACCGTTTGGTTGATGGCGGCCTCTGATTCACTTGGGAGTCCACTTTGGCTGGTGCTTCTTGTGCTTTTCCTGACAAAAATAGAGCTTTACGTCGGCTTTCTCGGTAGGAAAGTTTCTCTACTGTAGACTAGTTGAGAGGAAGTAAGCAGGACGAAGGAAGTCCAGTATGTTTGGTGTGAACCTGACCAGGGCGACTGCAGTGAGGTTCTGACGGTGAAGCACGGATGTGGAAGTATGATGTGCACAAGGTGTTGTGGAGATGACATCCAAGGATGGCTGAAGACGAATAGTTTAAAGGTATGCTGAGGAAGACTGACATCAAAACTAGAGGTGGACATTTGAAGTACTGAACAAAATCCAAGCATCTCAATCTCAGTAACTCCCTGCTCTGACGCCTATATGTTTAATAGATTTAAACTGCTTGCTTTAAATTTTACAAAAGAGAAAATACTGTTTAGCTTAGAGAGAATGCAGCTGCACGGTGTTGAAACGATCCAGAACCGTTTGGTGGATGTCATGACTGTCCTCAGCATTCTTCTGTCTCGTGTTTTTATGAATCGAACAAAGTGTTGATTTACTGAAAACGTTTCTTTCCCTCAGAAAACACGCGACGACCGGAGCTCAGATGGATCTGAACCGCGTCGTCTTGCTGCTGGTCCTGTGCTGCTTCGACAAGGTAGCTGCTCCACTTCTGGATCGTCTGATGAGCTTTTAAGGAGTAGAAATGTGTCGCAAACTGCATTTAGTTTGGAGGGAGGTTGAAAGCTCGATCTAGGATTTATCACTGTGCAGCCAAGAAAGCTAATTGGTGTATTCATTACTTCCTGGTTTGTCTCTAAGAGGCTTCACACAGTCGTGAATTAGCATCACGTGTTTTTTCTGCACACAAACCTCTCCAGTACCTTCAGGTTTTAGCTTCAGAAACACATCTCTGTCATGTTAAAGTCTTTTATTCTTCTGTTCACTCCTTTAAAGAGTCCTACGGTGGTTTGCTGCTGCGCTGAAGGAGTTGCGGTTGATGGATGCAACAGAAAATCTTGCTAAATATCGACATTTTGATGCCACATTTGTAATATTTTAGTTCAAACAGAGCTACAAAGGGCTTTATACTCCCTCCTGTGACGAACAGACTCCCTTTAAAATGTAAATAAGATCACATTTATTACAGATGTTGGATTAAAAAGACCAACATCATGCACTTTATCTACTTAAATTCCACTTTGTTGGACCTTCCTTGACATCTGCAGTATTATCTTAAGCGTGTTTTTTAAAATTTATTTATGGTTTTCAATCATCCCAGCAGCTGGTTGCAACGACATCAGAGGACGACTCGGTGGAGCATCTCGACCAGATCGCGTCGGCGCAGTTCGAGTGTTTCCAGAGAATCACGAAAGAGTCACACCGCAAAACGAGATCCATCGGTGAGCTCAAATATCTGAGACACGTGTGAGAATTAACAAATATGACTTTAGATTTTGACAGAAAATGTCTGTGAGACGTCGTTCACATTTCTGTTT